ACCATCGGGTATCTCGGGGCAGGCCACCCCCAGGGGTGGAAGAGGACGGGCACGGCAGGCTCGTGACCTGCCGACTTCGGCGTTGGCTCCTGGCGCCGCGGGGACCGTTCAGCTTTGAGCGGCGGGCCGCTTCCGAAACGTCAGCTCGTTCCACGTCGGCCGCTTCTGGGCCGCCCGTGGCGCTCCACGCGGGGCGCCGGCGGCGGGGGTTTCTGCCGCGGGTGGGCACGACGCGAACATGCCGCATGGCGCACCTCTGGGACGAGGCAAGCGGGCCGGAAAGACGAGCGTCGGGTCGGGAGGATCGGGCTGGGCAGGTACGGATCACGAATGTGCATGAAGCGCGCTCTACCTACGCGACAATACGAATGATCCTGTCGTTTCTCCCAGCCCCCATCCTCCCAATCCGATAGTTGTCTTTCAGAGCGGGTCAAGATCAAGGGGCCCAAGGACACACACAACTAAATACACACAAATGCCAGGATCCCCCATATTTTCATATATTTTCTGGCTTTTTGTCTTCCCGCCCAATTCCCATATTTTCCTATCTTTTCTCTCGGGGATCGACGATTAATTGTGTCTGTGTGTTCTTTCCCTTCCTGACAAGAGGGAAGCGAGCCCTGGACTCCGGAGGCCTTCCCCCAGGGGCAGCTGTTTTTTGGCTTTCCCCCCAGGAGCCGTTTGCTCCGTGGCATCGCGTGTCCTTTGGCTTTCCCCCCAAGGGCCGCTTGCTTCGTGGCATCACGTGTGCCCCCCTTGGGTCGGGGGCGCCCAAGAAGGGGGCGTCCAGGAGGGGGGGGGGGGGGCGCATCTCATGGCCGGCGGCATGCGCGCGGCCCAGAGGGGGGGGGCCCAGGGACGTCTTGAAATAATAAGAGGCACCGTGAACCCTGGGGAGATCTCATGGCCCCTGCCATGACCCAGACATCCGGCAACTCCAGCTCTTTTGGTGCGCGTGCCTCAGAGGTCTGGACCACTTCCCCGGGGCCGGCTTTTCGTCCCGAGTCGTCTTTTGAAGCGAGGGCCCCAGAGGCCGAAAACTGGCAACATCCCGCCGCTCCACTGTTGTCTGGAGCGTCGGATCTCTGGGGATATGCCCTCCCCTGAATCATCACGCCCCTCTCTGCCGCCCCCGATTGGAGACGCAGGCTCGACTGGAGCGCATAGCACGTATGAGCATCTTGTAGCAGTCTCCTGTGATCCCGGCGGCGTGGCCAGAAAGCGCCAGCCACAACGCCCATTTCACGAGGCCTCCCTTCCGTGTGCGCGTCGCCCCCGCGGAGGCGGCGAACACACAGAGAGCAAGAGTTAGGTCGGGCATGTCCTCCTACAGGCGGACTGCGTACGAAAAATTCAAAATACCACCCAAATGCTCAAACATACTCAAACATGGTAGAAACAACGTCCCCAGACTATGCTTGACTATTCTTGAAGATTCCTCCTATGGAGGGACACGCCCAACTTACAGCAAGCACGTACGTGCCCAACACATGCTCTTCTGCGCAAGGCTGCACTCGGTACGTGTCCACCCTCCTTTCTCCACTGGCGGCCGTGGGCGCCGGATCGTGTGGGCGAAGGCATTGGCGTCATGCGCCCACACTCGTAAAAGCCGCACGCGACACCGGGGTGCCGGAGCGCAAAAAGCAAACCTAATCAGTTTCGTGGCCAGACGATTCAGATCTCGTGACTGCATGCCCCTCACTCTCTGAGGCCCTAGTTTCAAGACCTCAGCGGATGAGCTCGGTGTGCATGTAGCAGAATGGCTCCTCGTGCGCAGCGCACATGGCGTAGAGCCCGCTCTGAAGCACCAAGTCATCCAGCCCGTTGGCTACCGGGCACATGCCGCTCAGCTCTTTCTTAAAAGGCTCCACCCAAGCGCAATAGGTGGACTGACCGTATTTCTGCTGGCCCATGGGGCATGGCATGTCGAAGAAGAGGGGGTCCCTGGCGCGCATGTCAGAGTGGATGCCGTCGCACTGGAGCCCACGGTAGCGGTTGGAGATCTGCCACCGCTTCGTGGTGGGGACCTCGATGCCCTGCTGGAAGAGCTCCTTCTCGGTGCGGTACTGGTTCGACCCCATACGCCCTTTGAGCTTCCGCTGAAGGATGGAGTTGAAAGCGATAGGGATGTTGGTGCGCGGGTCGCGACCACCGTCGTAGGTCGTCGTGGCGGCCATGATCACCTCGTCATGGAAGGTCGGTGAGTCCCACACCATCTTGACCTTCAGCTCGTGGAGCTTGTTGATAGACTCCAGCAAGGCGGACATCCTGTGGCTTGCAGGGATGAAGTTCGAGCCAACCCAGACGACAATCGTGTCCCCCTCTGCAGGATCCACGCCAAGCAATTCCATCTCCCTCTTGATCTCCTTCACGGGCAGCTGGTGGCTGACCCAGCCGTCCCAGTGGATAAAAGATGCAATGCCTCCCTCAGTGCAGCCGTGGGGCATCTCCGTAACATTCGGGGTCTGCTGGGAGTGAGAGTGGAAGCGGGCCCTGCTCTTCATTTTTGGCCCGTCTTTCTCGTTCCTCCGCACTGCCACCATCATGTCATCAATGAAGCGCGTGTCGTTCTTGGACCACCAGATCTCAGGGCACTTGTTGAGGCGGTGGAACGCGTTACGGAGTGACATCATCTGCGAATCGCCCACAAAGATGTGCTTGACTCGGCCGTGACCGCGCTCCTTCATGCAGTCCGACTTCAGCATGGCTGCGTCGGGGCCTGTCATCTGCAGAGCGTCCTCGGCGTACCCTGCCCCCTGCAGCTGCGCGAAGTACGCCGCCGCGTCCCAGTCGACCGCCTGGAGCATCTTCTGTGTGGGGATCGGGAAGCCCTTCGCGCCGATGTCCAGGCAGAAATTCTCCCCGAACTGGGACTCGCCGTCGCTCTCCGTGTCGCCGGCGTCGCCGGAGAATCCGAGCTCCTCGGGCGTCTGCAGCACGCCCGCGCGCCCTCCCGAGCCCGCCTGCAGGCGCAGCGCCGAGGCGCCCTGCCCTGCGTGGAGGTGCTTCGCGGCGAGGAGCTCCGCCGCGGAGCTCGACGCCCCCTGCTCCGCGGCCAGGCCCAGCGCCGAGGCGCCCTCGAGCACGAGGCGGGAGAGGAGGGCCAGGCGCGGGAGCGGGGCCATTGCAGCTGGAGGATGGAGCTCGGCCGCGCGGGTTCGGTCAGTGTGTGTATAATATGTATGTGCGTCGTGTGTGTTCGCGTCGGAGCGGCTGGAGCCAAAACGACCACGGGCTGTACGTAGTTGCTTATCCGCAACCTTGGGAGCCGACGGCCCTCGACCAAGACACGACAGATTGCTCTGGGACCAGCTGGCAGGCCAACGATTCAAGGTCGCCCCTGCCCCACTAGCCAACGTCGTGTACAAGTCGCGGCCATCCCCAATCAAAGCCAGAGCACTCTGGGCACGAAGAGGATGATGAACAAGGAGAGTGCGAACCTGGACACTACACACATATCACCCGCCTGGTGAACCGACGTCCAAGGATCCCAGGAGGCGGAGGATACGGACCTACACGGACATCTTTGGGCCCGCCACCCTTGCTGCCCGATAACGTCCACATCCGATGCCTCCTCGGGGGCCCGGGGCATCGGCTCTCCAAGCGGCGGCTTGGTGGCCCGCTCCGAGAACACTCAACTCCAAGATGTTCGTCCCTTAGGGGTCGCGTTTCGTCACTTTCGCTGGCTTTCCGCCGGGGGGCGGGCCTGCTTTTTGCCGAACTGCGCTTCGCGAAGGGGCAAAACGACAGCAGAAGGGTCCCCACAATGGTCAGGTCGGGCATGTCCACCCACAGGCGGATATTGGAGGAGAAATAAGAAGAGTCAAACCATACGCCAGACACGTGCGAAACTAGTCAAAGATCGCCAGACAAGACGCCGTGGGCGCAGGATCGTGTGGGCGAAGGCATTGGCGTCATGCGCCCAAACTCGTAAAAACAGCACGCGACACCGGAGTGCCAGAGCGCAAAAAGCAAATCTAATCAGTTTCGTGGCCAGACGATTCAGATCTCATGACTGCATGTCCCTCACTCTTTGAGGCCCTAGTTTCAAGACCTCAGCGGATGAGCTCGGTGTGCATGTAGCAGAATGGCTCCTTGTGCGCAGCGCACATGGCGTAGAGCCCGCTCTGAAGCACCAAATCATCCAGCCCGTTGGCTACTGGGCACATGCCGCTCAGCTCTTTCTTAAAAGGCTCCACCCAAGCGCAATAGGTGGACTGACCGTATTTCTGCTGGCCCATGGGGCATGGCATGTCGAAGAAGAGGGGGTCCCTGGCGCGCATGTCAGAGTGGATGCCGTCGCACTGGAGCCCACGGTAGCGGTTGGAGATCTGCCACCGCTTCGTGGTGGGGACCTCGATGCCCTGCTGGAAGAGCTCCTTCTCGGTGCGGTACTGGTTCGACCCCATACGCCCTTTGAGCTTCCGCTGAAGGATGGAGTTGAAAGCGATAGGGATGTTGGTGCGCGGGTCGCGACCACCGTCGTAGGTCGTCGTGGCGGCCATGATAACCTCGTCATGGAAGGTCGGTGAGTCCCACACCATCTTGACCTTCAGCTCGTGGAGCTTGTTGATAGACTCCAGCAAGGCGGACATCCTGTGGCTTGCAGGGATGAAGTTCGAGCCAACCCAGACGACAATCGTGTCCCCCTCTGCAGGATCCACGCCAAGCAATTCCATCTCCCTCTTGATCTCCTTCACGGGCAGCTGGTGGCTGACCCAGCCGTCCCAGTGGATAAAAGATGCAATGCCTCCCTCAGTGCAGCCGTGGGGCATCTCCGTAACATTCGGGGTCTGCTGGGAGTGAGAGTGGAAGCGGGCCCTGCTCTTCATTTTTGGCCCGTCTTTCTCGTTCCTCCGCACTGCCACCATCATGTCATCAATGAAGCGCGTGTCGTTCTTGGACCACCAGATCTCAGGGCACTTGTTGAGGCGGTGGAACGCGTTACGGAGTGACATCATCTGCGAATCGCCCACAAAGATGTGCTTGACTCGGCCGTGACCGCGCTCCTTCATGCAGTCCGACTTCAGCATGGCTGCGTCGGGGCCTGTCATCTGCAGAGCGTCCTCGGCGTACCCTGCCCCCTGCAGCTGCGCGAAGTACGCCGCCGCGTCCCAGTCGACCGCCTGGAGCATCTTCTGTGTGGGGATCGGGAAGCCCTTCGCGCCGATGTCCAGGCAGAAATTCTCCCCGAACTGGGACTCGCCGTCGCTCTCCATGTCGCCGGCGTCGCCGGAGAATCCGAGCTCCTCGGGCGTCTGCAGCACGCCCGCGCGCCCTCCCGAGCCCGCCTGCAGGCGCAGCGCCGAGGCGCCCTGCCCTGCGTGGAGGTGCTTCGCGGCGAGGAGCTCCGCCGCGGAGCTCGACGCCCCCTGCTCCGCGGCCAGGCCCAGCGCCGAGGCGCCCTCGAGCACGAGGCGGGAGAGGAGGGCCAGGCGCGGGAGCGGGGCCATTGCAGCTGGAGGATGGAGCTCGGCCGCGCGGGTTCGGTCAGTGTGTGTATAATATGTATGTGCGTCGTGTGTGTTCGCGTCGGAGCGGCTGGAGCCAAAACGACCACGGGCTGTACGTAGTTGCTTATCCGCAACCTTGGGAGCCGACGGCCCTCGACCAAGACACGACAGATTGCTCTGGGACCAGCTGGCAGGCCAACGATTCAAGGTCGCCCCTGCCCCACTAGCCAACGTCGTGTACAAGTCGCGGCCATCCCCAATCAAAGCCAGAGCACTCTGGGCACGAAGAGGATGATGAACAAGGAGAGTGCGAACCTGGACACTACACACATATCACCCGCCTGGTGAACCGACGTCCAAGGATCCCAGGAGGCGGAGGATACGGACCTACACGGACATCTTTGGGCCCGCCACCCTTGCTGCCCGATAACGTCCACATCCGATGCCTCCTCGGGGGCCCGGGGCATCGGCTCTCCAAGCGGCGGCTTGGCGGCCCGCTCCGAGAACACTCAACTCCAAGATGTTCGTCCCTTAGGGGTCGCGTTTCGTCACTTTCGCTGGCTTTCCGCCGGGGGGCGGGCCTGCTTTTTGCCGAACTGCGCTTCGCGAAAGTGTTGTGAGAGAGGTTGCAAAAACCACAGCAGAAGGGTCGCCACAATGGTCAGGCCAGGCATGCCCCCCCACAGGCGGACTTTGGAGGAGAAATAAGAAAAGCCAAACAATACGCCAGACATGTGCGAAACTAGTCAAACAAATCGTCCCCAGACTATTTTTGGACTGCTTCTGAACATTCCCCCTGCAGACCTCCTTCTCCCTCCTCCTCCGCCCTCCTCCTCCCTCCTCCGCCCTCCTCTTCCTTCCTCCCTCCTCCTCTTCCCTCCTCCTCTTCCCTCCTCTTCCCTCCTCTTCCCTCCTCCGCCCTCCTCCTCCTCCTCCTCCTCCTCCTCCTCCTCCTCAGGGACAGGCCCGACTTCACGATGGAAGTTGGGAGCCGACAGCTGCAGAAGAGTCCCCACAGCGGGGGACAAGGAGCGAGCCCGAGGCCGCCCCCCCCGGGGAAACCGCCGCGCGTGCCCGGAGGCGGCTCCTGGCGGCGTTCCGCCCAAGCATGTCCCCCGAGAGGAATCCGTTGCCCTTCCAGAGGCTGGCGGCGCGCACGAGGGCGTGGAGGGAGAGGTTGGGACAGGATAGGATAGCCACTGAACGGTGTCAACGAGAGGGAAATAAAAAACCCACGCTGTCTGGGCATGTGCAGTGTGTTGGGAGTGACTCAGTGCACCTCGGTCGCTCCAAACCTCGAACGGCCTAAAGGGGTGGAGGGAAGGGGGGGCTTCTTAGAAGGAGGCTGCTTCTTAGAAGGCGCGAGCCTTGCATCTATAGACAAGGCCCGCACCTTCTAAGCAGCAGGGGTGCTTCTAAGAAGCCCTCCCCCCTTCCCTCCCCCCCCTCTGCGCGTGGCTGCAGAGGGCCATCACGACATCGGATAGCGATTCCAACCACCAGCGAGCCGGCCCTGCGATCCATTCAAGAGTCGTTCTCTCGCCCCACTGCCGGCAGCATTGTTGGTCTGGACGGCCGCGATCCCTCGCGCTGCAGTCAAGACGTACACTGAGGACGGGCGGTGAGGACGCAGGACCCCTGGAGGCCAAAGCTGGGAGTTGTGGGGCGGCGGGCGGCCTGTGAAAGCGGCAGAAGACGGGCCGCAGAGACGAGGACACAAGGGCCCCCTGGATGACGGCGCGCGTCCTTCTTGGGCGCGTTGGCTGTGGAGGGCTCTGATGGAGGTCACAACAGAAACAACGGAAGAGATCCCCAGGGCCGGGGAGCCCGAGATCGGGATCGCCCCGCGTGGCGACCCCTCCCCCGTGTCGCCCCCCGCCCCCGAGGCCATGGCGACCCCCCCGTGGCGACGCCCCGGGCGGCGACCCCCCCGGTGGCGACCCCAACCCGCCGTGGCGAACTCGCCGTGGCGACCCCCCCGTGGTGACCCCTCAGGTGGCGACCCCCCAGGTGGCGGGTGGCGACCCCGCGGGGGCGAGCCCGCGGGGGCGACCCACCAAATGGCGCCCCCCCCCCCAGCCAAGACCACCCCGTGGCGACCCCTCAGGTGGCGACCCCCCAGGTGGCGACCCTCTGGGCGGGGAGGCCCTGTTTCTCGAGGGGGCTCGTTCCAGGTGCGCGGTGCGGGGCAAGCCGGGTCTTTCCAGCAAGGGAGAGGGGCCCGTCCTCCTCCCCGCCGCCCTGCGGGGTCCTGGGAACCTCCTCCCCAACACCCCTCCTCCCTCCTCCTCCTCCTCCTCCTTCTCGTCGTCGTCCTCCTCCTCCTCCTCCTCCTCCTCCTCCTCCTCATCGTCCTGCTCCTGGTCCCCCCCTGAATCGAATGGTGCTGTGAAGCCCGTGCAATTTTCAGCGCGCGTGTCAACGTTCGTTTCGTTTCGCCCCTGCTCACCTGCTGGGGCTTTCAAGCAAAATATGGTCGTACTACCTTACTGGTACTGGCCGTTGTCCCAGAACCGTACTAATACCGCGCAATCCTGGCACCTACCGGTGCCGGTACCGGTACAGCGGGGTCCTGCTACCGCACCGGCGCTACCACTACCAGTACTGGCTGTAGTAGCCGGACGCAACTACTAACCGTACCAGTACCGCGTGCTCTTGATACCTGACCGTGCCATGCCGTTGCCACCATGATGAAGCGAAAAGCCAGGGGCACGTTGGGCTTGAACATCCCTCGACACTTGCTCAAAGAACCCGGATTCTTCACGACTCACGCAAGGAAACCTCGACCGAACCCGGAATCCGACATCAGTTTTTTGTTCACAATGTGGTCCCCGATCTTTTGACGGCCCTGGGGCCTGGGAAATATACCCCAGAGGCACCCTCGACAAACATATCGCCATGAGTTGTGTATCTCTCCCTCTCTCGCAGCGCGAGCAGGCATTTTGGCGGCGCGCACAAGAGGGATGGGGGGAGGGAGGAAGGCTTTTAGAAACGGGCCGCTTCTTGGAAGGCGCCCGTCCCATGTCTATAGAGAGAAGGTCCGCGCCCTCTGCGAAGCGGGGTGCTTTCAAGAAGCCTTTCACCCCTCCCCCTACCCCCCTCTGCTCGATGATCCTCCGAACGTGTGTCAGCGCCAACGTATGTTTGCCAATCGAGGCCCTTCGCTACGACGTAGGGGGCGCAACGAAGCCCGACACAGGCTGCGCGTGATCGGCGGAACCGAACGGGGTAAACACACGCCTGGGCTAACACACGTCCTGAGGATCATCGGCCTGCGCGTGGCCGAGTATTCTTTGTGTCCCCCCTGCGGGCTGCGCCCGGCGCTGCGGCTGCGCCCGCTGCGCGACGAGCCCGACGAGCCGGTGGAGCCCGAGCTCGACGAGCGCCGCGCGCGGCGGCCCCGCCCGCCGCCGCGGCGCGCGCGCCCGGGGCCGCTGGCGCGCTCCGTGGGCGCTCTGCGCTTGGCCTCCTCGACCTGGGCGGGGCTTCCGCTGCCATCACTACAATGGGACTTCCTCCTCCTCCTCCTCCTTCTCCTCCTCCTCCTCCTCCTCCTCCAGGACGATAGGGCATCCTTCAAGAGCGCGGGTAAGACGGAGCCAGGACGAGGATAAACATTCGGGGGGGGATACATCGAGAACCTCAGAGATCTGGCTACTTTGGAGAACATCTCGGGCCGAGAACGCTCTGAGGACGTCCCAGAACGCTCTGGAACGGACTTATCCTCGTCCCAGCCCCTTCGGAACGAGACCCCCCGCCCGTTAAATTGAAGGGCATTCGAGGGTACCTCCGCCCAGGATGCACAAGAACATCCAACAAACACGAAGAGCATCTGGGCACCCTCCACGAACCGACCTCGAACTTATACCCCTCGGTCCGATAGTACACGCCCAGACTTCCTTCTCGTGGTGGAACAACATCGGCGACAACACACTTGAAAACCGACCACACTGGCAACGAGATCGAGCTGCACCGAGGTCGACCAGACCCAGCCGGCTTGGAGGGGCGCAGCGGAGGCAGCAACGAAGCAGCAACCCACCGAACCGAACGCACCGAGCACAACCGACCGCGGCGCCCCTGCGCGGCCAGACCGACCGAACCGCGGACACCTGGCAGCTGGGCGAGGGCTGGCAAGTCCGTTGCTGCTAAAACGGTCTTGCCGTAAGAGAGAACAACTTTCCGGAATCAGTATCAGCGCACTAGGCTGCTTCCCGGAAGCAGAACAATCCAGGAGCGCCGTTTTAGCAGCCACAAGTTTGCCAGCCGTCGCCCGGCTTCTGAGACACCCTTGACTACCGTCGCCGTCGCTCCTGGGGTGGCCTCGGTGCCATCACCACGGCCCAGACCTCTTCCCCGCTGTGGAAAAGCAGCGCCCTCACTGGGAGCCGCAGGAGCTCTCGGCAAGGCGGCCCGGACGTGAGCAGGGGAACAACCCCAGACATGCAACGTCCTGATTTTTTCAGGACGGCGTCCCTGAAGTCCCGACCCTTTCCCCGGGACCAGTTTTGCATCCTGAATCGTTTTTTGACGGTCCCGAGGCCCGGCGAGGGCCCCCCGAGGCCGAAAATTGGCAAACACCTCGCGTCCTTTTTTTTTTTTGGGGGGGGGGGGGGGCACGACGGCACAAACAAAATAAAACTCTTGGAGGTCCGCGCGGCCTTCTTTGGCTCCCGCGCCTGCGCCCCCCCCCCTTCCTGGCGCGCGAGGGCGCGCCAAGGGGCGGCGCCCCGGAGGCGCCGCCAGTGGGCGCCAGCGCCGATCGAGAAAGCGAGCCTTTTTTTTGTCGGTAGTTTTTTTTTTTCGTTTTCGTGCTTTGTTTTTTCCCTACCCTCTGTGCTCGAAGGGGGGGGGGAGGAGGAGGAGGAGGAGGAGGAGGAGGAGGAGGAGGAGGAGGAGGAGGAGGAGGAGGAGGCCGCCCCTAAACAGTCACCCGAGGCGTTTGGTTCCCTACCTAGGCTCTGCCTAGAAGGGTTCTTACCCTCTGTGCTTAAAGGGCCGGGCAGTGGATAACGCCCCGGGCGGTTCCCCCGGCATCCGCCCCGCGGTTCCCCCAGTTACGTCCCCTTAGCTCAGCGCTGCTTATCTCATCTTAGCTTAGCTTATTTCATCTTAGCTCAGGTTTATCTTAGCTTAGCTTGCCTCCATCTTAGCTTCGCTGAGCTGTAACATAGCATAACAGAGCATAGCATATCATAGCGTAGCATAGCATAGCGCAGCACATCATATCATAGCATAACCCATCATAGCATAGCATAGCATAGCGCAGCATAGCATAGCATAGCATAGCGTAGCGCAGCTTAGCATATCATATCATAACAGAGGTTAGCATAGCATAGCGCAGCATGCCATGCCATATCATAACTTATGATATCATAGCATAGCGCATCATATCATAACATAATATAGCCTAGCGCAGCATGACATAGCATAGCATTGCATAACAACCAATGCTGCTTTCCTAGGGGCTCCAACTTCTAGGTAGGGTCGCACTGGGGTAATTTGTTGTTTCGCAAACAAAAAACATAAAACAAGTCGGCGTCTCGACATTGGGCGGCAAGGGGGGGTGTGGCTCCAGACCTCTGCTCAGTGCGACTGCTTGCAAGAGTGCGGTCTCTGGGAGACGACTCCACCCGCTCGAAGCAGGCGCCAACAGAAAAGCCTAGATCCACTCCATGGGGGGGGTGGGGCCCGCGTCGATCGGCAAAACAATGACTCACAAACTATCAGAACTCCGCCTGGAGCTCCGAAAACATGTGTATGCCAGTCTGCTTCTTCCAAGGAAGCCTGCTCAGGGGAGACAACGGGCGCCACCGCAACACCGCGACGCGCTTCACGTGCTGTCTGCTCTGCCACGGGTTCCTCACGTCGCTGCCAGATGTGGTCGTCGCTTTGCACAAGGCCATGCCATCACTCGCATTTGTGTACAGGATCGTGCAGCAGCTCCGAGGTACAGAATCCGAGGGGGAGGAGGAGGAGGAGGAGGAGGAGGAGGAAGAGGAGGAGGAGGAGGAGGAGGAGGAGGAGGAGGAGGAGGAGGAGGAGGAGGAGGAGGAGGAGGAGGAGGAGGAGAAAGAGGAGGAGGAGGCGGGGGAGGAAGAATAATTGGCAGGAGGAGGAGGAGGAGGAGGACCTCCGGAGGCCCACGCCGTGGAAGAAACAGCGTCGTCAGAGGTCTGGGCAGGTCGGCCGCGGCGGGGCAGCTGACGGCGGGGGGGGGCAGCCGCCCACTGAGCACGCCGCGCATGCGCGGAGACGTGCGATGTAGGTGCGCGCGGAGGCGCTCGGGCGCAAGCGCGGCCGTGCACGCACGCGCCGCAGCATCGGCGCGGCCCGGGCGGCCGCGCCGCTTCTCCGCGCGCCGCGGCGCGGCCGAACGCACGCGCGCGCCGCGGCGACGGTGCGCGGCCGCCCAAGCCTCGCACAGCGCGGCCTGCGGTGTGCGCGACGCGCCCACGGCGGCCGGGCAGCACGAGGGCCGCGACGCGCGAGGCGCGAGGTCCGGCCTGTGCCAAAAGTGCTCGTCTTGCGCGAGGCGCGGGCCGCGCCGAGCAGAGGCAGCACCACGGGTCAGCGGGCCGTGGCGGGGCAGGTTCGCGTCGCAGTTCAGTCAGGCATTGCAGGATCCTGCGATTTCCTCCAGGATCCTGCAGGATCCTGCACCCAAGCCCGGGCCAGTGCACCTCTGGTTCTGCAAGATCCTGCAAGATCCGGCGCTCTGGCTGACCCCCGTTGGCATTGACCCCCGTCTCTTGAGCCTCGACTCCAGACCCCCGACGCCATGATTTTTCTGTAACGTCGACCGCCAAAGGTCTCGACCGCTTCCCCGGGCCCGGTTTTTCATCCCGAGTCGTTTTTTGGCAGTCCCGAGGCTCGGCGAGGGCCCCTGGAGGCCGAAAAACTAGCGAAACACTTCCTTCACGATCTCTTCACCACGCGAGGGGGCCTGGGGTACTGCGGATGGGGTGTCGTGTCGCCAGCTCTCGCGCAGAAGCTAGCAAAAGGGGCTCCGCTCAAGTCGGGCACGTCCCTCTACAGGAGGAATATTCTAAAGTAGTAAAAACATCGTCTGGGGACGTTTCCTCTTTTGTGTGTGAATATACACATACACTTAAACACAGAATCTGTATTCTTCGCCCGAAATCCGCCTGTAGGGGGACATGCCCGACCTAATAGACGAGCGCGTTCCACTACTCGCAAAGTAGCTACTCGCAAATGGCCTGGATCCGCCGCGGGGGATCTACGATCAATTACATCGAAGTAGACATGTGTTTTGAAGGGGACTTGCGACTTTAAGGCGTATCTGGATGATTCTATGACTAAGGCGTATCATCGACATGTGTGCTGCTTTATTCTTCTGTGCTCTTTAAGGCGTATCTTTCATTCTCCGCCCAAAGTCCGCCTGCAGGGGGACATGCCCGACCTGAGGCCCCGTGTTGCGCCCGCCGGGGGCCTTCCTGCCGCCGCGGCCGCGGCCCCCGCGGCCGCCGCCGCTGCTGGAGCGCCCGCGGGGGCTGCCGGAGCGCCCCCTGGGCGGCGAGCCGCCGCGGCCCGCCGCGCCGGCGGCGGAGCCCGGCGCGTCGGAGGGCGCGCCGCTGGCGGCGCCCTCCTTCAGAGGCCTCCCACATGGGGTCGGAGTAGCCCAGAGATCCAACGCATTGAACAAAATCAAGGCGGAGGCTTCTCGTATGTTTCGGCCTCTGGGGGCCCTCGCCGGACCTCGGGGCCGTCAAACAACGACTCAGGATGATCATCCCGGCAAAGCAACCTAACAGCGATGTGTAGGAGCATGTCTGGCAGCATCCCCCTTAAGATTCACATGAGAATCCAGTTGTAGAATTCTGCTGTTCTCGCAGTCGCAGTCGCATTCGCGATGAAAGTCGCAGTGGCAACGGCAGTCGCAGTCACAGCCTCAGCCTCAGCCTGCCTCAGCCTCAGCCTCAGCCTGCCTCAGCCTCAGCCTCAGCCTGCTTCAGCCTCAGCCTCAGTCTGCCTTCAGCCTCGGCCTCAGCCTCAGCCTGCCTCAGCCTCAGCCTGCATCAGCCTCAGCCTCAGCCTCAGCCTGCCTCAGCATCAGCCTGCCTCAGCCTCAGCCTCAGCCTGCCTGCCTCAGCCTCAGCCTCAGCCTGCTTCAGCCTCAGCCTCAGTCTGCCTTCAGCCTCGGCCTCAGCCTCAGCCTGCCTCAGCCTCAGCCTGCATCAGCCTCAGCCTCAGCCTCAGCCTGCCTCAGCATCAGCCTGCCTCAGCCTCAGCCTCAGCCTGCCTCAGCCTCAGCCTCAGCCTCAGCCTGCTTCAGCCTCAGCCTCAGTCTGCCTTCAGCCTCGGCCTCAGCCTCAGCCTGCCTCAGCCTCAGCCTGCATCAGCCTCAGCCTCAGCCTCAGCCTCAGCCTGCCTCAGCCTCAGCCTCAGCCTGCCTCAGCCTCAGCCTGCCTCAGCCTCAGCCTCAGCCTGCTTCAGCCTCAGCCTCAGTCTGCCTTCAGCCTCGGCCTCAGCCTCAGCCTGCCTAAGCCTCAGCCTGCATCAGCCTGAGCCTCAGCCTCAGCCTGCCTCAGCATCAGCCTGCCTCAGCCTCAGCCTCAGCCTGCCTCAGCCTCAGCCTCAGCCTGCTTCAGCCTCGGCCTCAGTCTGCCTTCAGCCTCGGCCTCAGCCTCAGCCTGCCTCAGCCTCAGCCTGCATCAGCCTGAGCCTCAGCCTCAGCCTGCCTCAGCATCAGCCTGCCTCAGCCTCAGCCTCAGCCTGCCTCAGCCTCAGCCTCAGCCTGCTTCAGCCTCAGCCTCAGTCTGCCTTCAGCCTCGGGCCTCAGCCTGCCTCAGCCTCAGCCTGCCTCAGCCTCAGCCTCAGCCTGCCTCAGCATTCAAAATGTGGCCCGGGAATGGAGTTCTGGGAACTCGAAGAACACGAAGTGGCCTACAGTTGGCTCCGGGCATTCAAAATCATGCCCAGGAATGGAGTTCTGGGAACTCGAAGACCACGAAGTGGCCTTCTGTTGGCTCAGGGCACCCAAAATGTGGCCCGGGAATGGAGTTCTGGGAACTCGAAGAACACGAAGTGGCCTACAGTTGGCTCCGGGCATTCAAAATCATGCCCAGGAATGGAGTTCTGGGAACTCGAAGACCACGAAGTGGCCTACTGTTGGTTCCGGGCATCCAAAATGTACGCCGGGAATGGAGTTCTGGGAACTCGAAGACCGCGAAGTGGCCTACAGTTGGCTCCGGGCATCCAAAATGTACGCCGGGAATGGAGTTCTAGCAGCGCCAAGAGCGATTTTGCGAGGATGTCAGAAGGATTTGGGGTTCGACGGCAGCCGCCCCGGGTCCCGCCCGGACCCCCCTGTGGAGTCATCTGCTGCTCTCTTTTGAGACCACTAGAAACTTATCAGTCTTCGCTGTTAGGTAAAAAAGCGGTCCTGGGGAATGGGTCGAGACTTCCGGGGACCCCGTATTGAACAGATCACGACATCGGATCTCATGGAGATGGGGTCGGAGGATTGCGGCGCATCGCCGATGCATCGGCGATGCATCAGCGATGCGCCGGCGATGCAACGTCGACGTCGGCGATGCATCGGTGACGTCGGCGTGAAGCAAATCGGGCTGCCCATCGAGCCGCATCGGCGATGCATCGGCGATGCGCCACGATCTTTCGACCCCATCTAATCCGACCCCATCCAGGAAGCCTGGATCCTTGGGGAAGGGGCATCGACACATCCGAACTGCTGCAATCCCGGGCCCCCTCACGCTGCGAACAAAATCCCAACGGCGGGCTTTTCCCCATTTTCAGCCTCCATAGCGGCCCTCGCCGGGCCTCGGGGCCGCCAAAACACGACTCAGGAGGAGAAACTGGTCCCGGGGAAGAGGTTGAGATCTCTGGGGGTCGACTTCATGGAAAAATCATGAACGTCGGGGGTCTGGGATACAGGAGCGCGAGAGAAAAACGATCGGCGGCGAGCGAGGGGGGACGTGAGAAGGAGGAGGCCTTCTCAGATGGCGGCGGGACTTCTCACAGAAGCCCTCGCGCCCTCTGATACGTTTTCATAAGTTTTCAGTGGCTTGGGGGAAGGCTTAGAAACTTCTCAGAAGGCAGGGGGACTTCCGAGCCTTCTGAGAAGGCCTTCTCCCTCTCACTTCCCCCCTCGCTCGCTGCCGACCCTTGGAGGGACAGCGACACTTCCAGGCTGCTGCAGGAAGGAACGCTCGAGGAGGGACGAAGCCTCCTTCTGGCACCAAGCAAGATGCCTGGGTGCACGAGGAGGGCCAGAGGAGAACAGTCGCGGAAAGACCTATGAGGAACAGCGGGCTCCTTGCGACCCAGAGCGGTCCTTACTTCAGCGGCTTGGCTTTTCGACCTGGCATCGACGATGCATCGCCGATAGATCGGCGATGTGCCCCGCTGCCAGAACCGCGCGTGCCTGAGCTGGGTGGGGCTGTCGGGGCCCCTCTCGGAGATCGACGGGCGATGGGGCATCGATGCGTCCCCCCCTGAGCCGGTCCCCCCCCCCTGACGTTGCCCCTGATCCTTCCGCCTCGTGATGCGTGCGACCAGGAACTCCTCCAGGCGCTCCTGGGCAGGGTCAGACTTGGCACCGCTCGGGCGTCCATTCCCCGGGCGTTCTTCGGGTTCGTGCGCGTATTTTGTTCGCAGGGTAGCCCCAGATGCTCCTCGAGGGTCCTCGTCGAGAAAAAATGCGCACGTCCGAGCGATGCCAAGACGACGTTGGATCGGGGAAGTCGGACCGGCTCGGAGCGTGCGTCGCATCGGGCGGGCATCGGCACGGGGTCGGAACCGAATCGGATCGGCTGCGCCAGGATGAACACCCACGCCATGCAAGCGCCGGGCCGCATAACAATCTACGTAACATCGGAATCGAACCGAAGCGGATCGGGCAGGTCGGGATCGAACACAAATCGGATCGACATGGAGCCCGCCTTGGTCGCCGCGTCGAGTCCGCCGACGGCCGCGGCCTGCTCCTCGGCCGCGAGCTGGGAGATGCGCCCCCACAGCGAGGCCACGTCAGCGCCCGCGGCGCCCCCGTCGGCGCTGCGCTCGCTGGCGGGCGACTCGGCGCGGCCCTTGTCCTTCCCGAGGACCCTCAGAGAGCGCGTGGCTGCCGGCGTGTGCTCGTCCACCGACGCCCGCCCCACGCGGGCCACGCAGAAAAGACGCGGCCCCAGGGCAAGGAGGGGCCTTTTTTGGTGCGCGGATGGCCGATCGCGCGCAGGGTGCGACCATGTGGCGGCCTGCGTGCTTGGGCCTGGCCTCCCCGTGCCCCCCCCCCCCCCCCCGAGAAGCCGCGCGCCGAGGCTCGCTCGGGATCCACCAAGGGGGGGGGGGGCTACGAGGGAGGGGAGGACGAGAGGAGGAGGAGGAGGAGGGAGGAGGAGGAGGAGGAGGGGAGGAAGGAGTAGGAGGAGGAGTAGGAGTAGGAGTAGGAGTAGGAGTCAAGCTAGCCAGCTCGAGCGAGTCAAGCATGGCATGCCCAGTCCCACCCGCCCTCCCACAACATAAGAAGCAAAGCTGGCACAACTGGGGGCCGAAGTCACACCGGCCAGCCGGTTTGGTACAGCTGATGCGGCCGCGATGGCGGTTGCCGACGGGAACTGGCGAGCGCGTGTTGAATGCCGCGCACGCATTGCCAGACGAGTCGAGAATGGCCCGGTACACCGCAGGAAGCCAGAGGTGGCCGGAGGAAGCCCGACGGTCTGACAGGACACCCCAAAGCATTTTTGTGAAAAAGCATTGGGTTTTTGATGTTTTTATGTTGAAATGCTTGCAAACACACGGTGTTCGGTAGGATTCTGACATGAACGCGCGAGTGTGCTCTTTGTGGTATTTTTTGCACAGGATTCGCGGCCTGGGTGCATGACAGAGCATCGCGAGTGCACCGCGCGATGACGTGAAATCGCTGGATTTGACCGAATTCTTAAGATTCCTATGGTTTTCCTATGATTTCAGCAAGAGAGCCCGGGCGGGAAATTTGTACAATTTTTGTGAAAAAGCATTGGGTTTTTGATGTTTTTATGTTGAAATGCTTGCAAACACACGGTGTTCGGTAGGATTCTGACATGAACGCGCGCGTGTGCTCTTTGTGGTATTTTTTGCAATGGATTATCGCCGTGGACGACAGGACGTCCATGTCGAGAGGAAAAAATAAGAAAAATGTTGATTTTGTATTGTTTTTTACAGGTTAGGATGGGACCACCCGGATGCGGCCCCTAATGGCCGGCCTGAGGGGGGAGTAGGAGTATATTCTAATAAGGAATAAGGATAGGAAGGATAGGAGAGGAGGAGGAGAGAGGAGAGGAGGAGGAGGAGGAGGAGGAGGAGGAGGAGGAGGAGAGGAGGGGAGGAGGAGGAGGAGGAGGAGGAGGAGGAGGAGGAGGAGGAGGAGGAGGAGGAAAAGGGGGGTGGCCCCGAGGGGGGGGGGCACGGCTTCGACCCGCGGGTGCACCGGACACTGCCGCAAACCGAGGCCCCCCCCGCACGCCCCACCTCTCGGCGCCCGTGGGGAGCTGCTGGCGGCGGTGGGGGGCACCTGCTTCGGGCGGTCCAGTGCAAAAACCGATGGAAAGATTGCAAAAAAACCCAGGATTGCAAAAAAACCTAGGATTGCAAAAAAACCCAGGATTGCAAAAAAACAACCCGGTTTTTTCTTGTTTGCAAAACCCAGGGTTTTTTTTTTTTTTGTTGAAAATCCAGGGTTTTTTTTTGCAATCCTTCGTTGCAATCCTTTTTTGCAATCCTTCGGGCGGTCCAGTGCAAAAACCGATGGAACTCCCCCCGCCCGGGGCAGCACAGCCCCCCTCAGCGGGATCCCGAATCACTCCGGCGACAGGTCACCCTCACGCGTAGCCGACAATGCAGCGCAAGCGGTGCTAGGAGGGCCAGCACGGGCTGCGCGCCATCGGTGGAGCTCAGCGGAGTGAACACACGCACACACACAACACACACAAGCACACACAAGCACACACAAACACACAAACACCCACAGACACACACAAACACACACACACAAACACACACACAAACACACACACAAGACCCACCCATAACACACATAACACACATACACATATGCACACATAGACACATATACACTCAAACACACAAACACACACACACACGAACACATAAACACACACACAGACACACACATACACACAAACACACACAAACACAAACACACACACAACCACACACACAAACACACACACACATACTTACACACAACCACACACACACCCAAACATACAAGTACACACAAACACAGACACAAACTCACACACAAACACACACACACACAAAACACACACACACACACGCACAAGCACGCAAACACACATAACATACATAACAATAGAACACACATAACACGTAACACACATAACACATATGCACAGAACACACAAAACACACACACATACACACAAACACACATACACACAACCACACACACACATATATATATATATATATATATATATATATATATATATATACATACACATACACACACGCACACACAAGCACACACACACACCCGGCTCACGTCCTGAGGATCATCGGCCCTCTCCCGTCCGCGCATCGCCTCCTGGAACATCTGGGCTAGCCGGAACTCCTCGCTCTGCAGGTAGCGCACCTGCTTGGCCGAGAAGAGCGGGAGGTTCGCCCGCAGAGCCCGGTACATCTTCTGCACTATCTTGTCCGAGGCGTCGTTGGGAAACTTTGCGTGGGTGGCGATGTCATACAGCACGGTGGTCTGAAACCCGCCCTCCTGGCACTTCTGCAACGCCTTCGAGAGCCACTTGAGGCGCTGCTCCGGCTTCATCTTCAACACAAGGCCGCGGTCGGCGACCAGCGGCTCTTCCTTCTTCTCTCCGAGGCCGGAATTCCTGCCCCAATCCCACGCCTTGCGGAGCGGATCTCCCCAGACCCCATGAGAGAAGGGATATGGGGTGCATTTGGATCCCCTTTGGGGTCGAAAGTGCAACTGCCTCTCGAGGTCGTGGGGCATCGTTCCCCAAAGTGGTGGACGTGCAGCAGGAGTCCCAGCCTTGGTTTCTCGACCTTCTTCTCCACCTTCCGCCGCCTGGTGACCGTCTCGGCGGGCAGGCTCCTATGCATCGGGTTGGCATCGTCGGGGACCCCCATGCGGACGCCTGAGGCGCTGGCTGGAAGCCCGCGGCGCACCCTGGCGATACGCCCCCACGCCCCCCCTGAATCGGCGATGCGCCCCCCTGAATCGGGTGGTCTTGAGCCAGATCGGCTACGGCCAGAGGGAGAGGATGATGCACGAATGTCTTATCCTTGAGCCTCTCTGGGGTGCAGGACTTGCGCCTCGCCTGGTCGGGGGCGCAGTGCGAGCTCGAGCGCTGGCTGTGGGCGCCTGGGGCGCACCTCGTTCGAGGCGGGCGCCCCCCGCCGGCAGGAGCGTACATCTTACATACAGCTTTGAAGGAAATTGAGACGGTGTCTACATGTGTCCCCGCCACACGTTTCGTGGCCCTGTGGGGAGCTCCACCGATGGCCCCAGTGATGGTGCTCACATGCGTCCCCGCTGCCCATGTCGGCACACCCCTCACACGCTTCGTGGCCCCACAGGGAGCTCCACCGAAGACGATAGTCACAACTGCATTACTCACAACTGCATATGGTTGGGTCCTTCGCCACGTTATTTTTTCATTCCGCGGCCCCAAGGGTTCCCGACCCCTTCCCCAGGGGTCGTTTTCGTACCGAATCCATTTTCGATGCTCACCAGGCCCGATAACGGGCCCCGGAAGCTGAAATCCACGGAAACACGCCAGATTGAAAGACCAGCCTGGCGAAAGGCCCAACCGTATGCAAGTGTGAATCTCGCAATTGTGGGTACCGTCTTTGGTGGAGCTTCCTATGGGCCACGAAACGCTGTACTGGGTGGGGGAGACGCATGTGGACGTTGCTACGAGGGCTTTCGGTGGAGCTCCCATTGGGCCACGAAACGCTGCACTGGGTGGGGAAGACGCATGCCACTGGGGCCTTCGGTAGATCTCCCTATGGGCCACGAAACGCTGTACTGGGTGGGGGAGACGCATGCTGGCGATAGCATTGGGTGTTTGGTGGATCTTCCTATGGGGCCACGCTGTATTCGGTGTGGCGGGCGCATGCGGGCTGTAGCACTGGGGCCGTCGGTGGAGCTCCCTGTGGAGTCACGAAGCGTTGTGCTGGGTGTGGCGGACGCATGCGGGCGGTAGCGCTGGGACGTTCGGTGAAGCTCCCTATGGGCCACGAAGCGCTGTACTGGGTAGGCGGAACGCATGTGGATATTGCCACTGGAGCCTTCGGTGAAGCTCCCTATGGGGCCACGGAACGCTGTACTGGGTGGGGGAGACGCATGCGAACTTTGCCACTGGGGCCTTCGGTGGATCTCCCTATGGAGCCGCGAAGCGCTGTACTGGGTGTGGCGGACGCATGCGGGCGGTATCACTGTGACCTTCGGTGGAGCTCCCTATGCGGCCACGAAGCGCTGTACTGGGTGTGGCGGACGCGTGCGGGCGGTAGCACTGTGACCCTCAGTGGAGCTCGCGAACCGCTGTACTGGGTGTGGCGGGGGCATGCCAGCGGTTGCACTTGGATCTCCCTGTCGGGCCACGAAACGCTGTACTGGGTGTGGGGGGGGGCACATGCGGGCGGTAGCACTGGGACTTTCCGTGGAGCTCCCTATGGGGCCACAAACCGCTGTACTGGGTGTGGCGGACGCATGCGGGCGGTATCGCTGGGGCCGCCGGTGGTGCTCCTTTGAGGCCACGAAGCGCTGTACTGGGTGTGGCTGACGCATGCGTGCGGTAGCACTGTGACCTTCGGTGGAGCTCCCCATGTATACGAGCGCGTTCCATTACTCGCAAAGTAGCTACTCGCAACTGGCCAGGATCCGCCGCGGGGAATCTACGATCTCTTCTGTCGAGGCGAACTTTGTGCTTTTCGGACGTTTGCGAGTAGGCGCTTTGCGAGTAGTGGAACGCGCTCGGTGACTATGGAGCCACGAAGCGCTGTACTGGGTGTGGCGGACGCATGCGGGCGGTAGCATTGGGACCTTCAGTGGAGCTCCCGAAACGCTGTACTGGGTGTGGCGGACGCATGCGAGCGGTAGCACTGGAACCTTCGCTGGGGCTCCTTGTGATGCCACGAAGCGCTGTCCTGGGTGTGGCGGGCGCTTGCGGGCGGTAGCACTGGGACCTTCGGTGGAGCTCCCTATGGGGCCACGAACCGCTGTACTGGGTGTGGCGCGCGCATGCCAGCGGTTGCACTGGGATCTTCGGTGGATCTCCCTTTGTGGCCACAAAGCGCTGTACTGGGTGTGGCGGACGCGTGCGGGCGGTAGCACTGGGACCTTCGGTGGAGCTCCCTATGGGGCCACGAAGCGCTGTACTGGGTGTGGCGGACGCGTGCGGGCAATAGCACTGGGACCTTCCGTGGAGCTCCCTATGGGGCCACGAAGCGCTGTACTGGGTGTGGCGGACGCATGCGGGCGGTAGCACTGGAATCTTCGCTGGGGTTCCTTGTGGGGCCACGAAGCGCTGTACGGGGTCTAGCGGACGCGTGCGGGCGGTAGCACTGGGACCTTCGGTGGAGCTCCCTATGGGGCCACGAAGCGCTGTACTGCGTGTAGCGGACGCGTGTGGGCGGGAGCACTGGGACCTTCGGTGGAGCTCCCCATGGGGCCACGAAGCGCTGTACTGGGTGTGGCGGACGCGTGCGGGCGGTAGCACTGGGACCTTCGGTGGAGCTCCCTATGGGGCCACGAATCGCTGTACTGAGAGTGGCGGACGCGTGCGCGCGGTGGAGCCCCCTATGGGGCCACGAAGCGCTGTACTGGGCGTGGCGGACGCGTGCGGGCGGTAGCACTGGGACCTTCGGTGGAGCTCCCGATGGGGCCACGAAGCGCTGTACTGGGTGTGGCAGACGCTCCTCTCGTGGGCGCCCCGTCAGGGTGCCGTCCGGGAGGGAGGGCCAACACGAAGAGAGGGGGCCGTGAAGGTGTGTTTTTGTCCCCGCTGTCGGACTCCCCCTTCCGAGCCCCGGAAGCGAATCGAATCGAGCCGCGTCCCTGTCAGCAAAAGCTGGCCCCAGCGAGGGGGAGCGTGGCGAGCTAGAAGACAGGCGGGCCTGCCAACAGCGGTGAAGACCGCAGCCAATATTCAGTGTATGGCAACCCGTGTCCACCTGGACCCATCTTTCCCTCATGCTGGAGCGTGGCGTGAAGAAGCCGCTTCTGCCAGGAGGTCGGCCGGAGTCTTCCACCCTTCGTCCCCAGTCATATGCTCGCACTGGGAATGCGGGCGCCAGGGTCCTCTTCGAGATCTGGCCCTCCATTCGCTGGACCACGAGGTGCTTGCTGTGGCTGCGCCGGAGGCCCCGTCCCCGCGGCATTGACTTTGTCGAAGCGAAACGCCCTCCCCGCCGCCCCTTCCCCAGTAACGGCCATTATTGCGAGGTGATACAGAAACGGGCTCCGTGCACCTTGTCTTGCTCCTTCCCCCCCTGTCCCCTCCACCTCCATCATCCCCGCCCAACAAGGGGGCACGAGAACTCCAGCCTCACCTCCCTGTTGGTGGAGTCGAGGCCGAGCTCACACCGGCAGAGCTCGACGGCACCCTGGCGCAGGCGCGGCCGTGAGGGGAGGGCGGCGAGAAAAAGGTGAACGTTTTGTTTGAGCGGCCTTCCATGTACTGCAGGGGCCCGACCACAAGAAACCTTCCACAAGAAAAGCCGACCCTGAGACCCCAAGACGTCAAATTGATTCTTGGTGTGGGAATGTCACGCTTTCCATCGCAAAAACCATCGAGACCCAAGACACCCAGGGCACCCTGGAGGCGAGCAGGGTGTTTCTTGGCATGGTTCTCCACTGCTCTGCGATCCTCGCCTCGCCACGCCTGCACATAGCTCTGAAAGGCCCCACTGCACAATCAGTCAGCACGCCCCTCTGATCGGCCCGCCGGCACAGGGGAAGGAGCACCGCGCCGCCGGTGAAGAGGAGCTGGCTCTCACGGAGAGCGCGGCTCAAGCACGATTCTCGGAGGCCGCGTCACAGCCGTTTGTGGTTCGGCGGAGGCATGGCATGCATCTCGCGACTCGAGTAGGTGTTCGATCGCAGAGCCTAACTTCGGAACGTATTGCCAACATCACTGGGCGATGCAGCGAAGAGGACGAGTAGGGTAGAGGAAGCGGACTTGGCAGAGAGCGCTGAAATCGTTGACACTTGATCCCGGGGTTATTGCTCCTGGGGGGTCTTGACAGCGCGTCCAGTCCAGAAATAAGCGAGACACGAACGCGCCATCACCATCACCACCAACTTAATCACCATCACCATCACCGCCATCAAATCTGTCCTTCATAGGCTGGTGTCGGGTGGTGTGTGCGGGGGGGGTGGGGTGGGGGGGCGAAACGTCAAAACGCCATGTTTGGCAGTGATGAAAGCTCAACACACAGTGCTCATCACAACATGCCCCAACACAAGAACACACGACGGGGAGGATTCGATCAAAGCATGCGATGGACGAGCGACGACTAAGGACGAACATATTTAGATCACCAATCCGCCTCCCGTTGGCGTAGCGATCCCGAGCGCGGGGGGGGGGCACGACGAATGACCCAAGGTAGTTTTCATCAGCGAGTGGGTGCGCACGTCTCTTCGAATCGGTTTGACCTGATACTTTAGAGCGTTGGCTCACATACAAAAAGCGGAACATCACCATCCAAACATACCCGCGCCACCGGCGTTGCGCAATTCCGTGAACCGCTGAACCAAATATCAGCACTCACCTGTCAACTATGACAGCCATTCCCACCCCTGCCGATGGAAGTACGACGCAGAGCGGCAACCCTACTCATCCCGACGACAACATAACGCAACCACCTATCCTCCGATATCGAATGTGTTTCGCCACGCGGGCCCCTGAGGAGCTCGACCACTCCCCGAGGGCTGGCTTTTCATCCTGAGTCCCTCTGGGACCGCCCCCCGGGCAAGGACGCGTCCCTCTGATACCGAACGCATGAACCACAAACAACACATGACAGTTGGCCAGACTTTCTGCAGTGCTCGGGCCCGAAGGTCCGCCTCATGGCCCCCAGGCACGTTGCGGCATGGACAGATGCCAAGACCCGCGCATGACACGTTTTCGGATTTCAAAACAAGGGGTCCTCCCGCTCCCTACCCGTAGACTCTTGCGTGCACCGCCCCTCCTTTCCGAGGCCACTTCCCTCGTGCACCCTCGAGGATGGTGCACTTCCAGCATGGCGGCTAATGCCAGACCCCACCTTCCACGCGTGCTCGCTCGAGGATGGTGCACTTCCCGCATGGCAGCTAATGCCTGAATCCTCATTCCATATGCGCGCCCGCTCGAGGATTGTGTACTGCTCGCATGGCTGCTAATTCCTAGACCCTTGCTCCCGCGCGCACCCGCTCGAAGATCGTGAACTTCCCGCATTCCCAGCGCTCCAGGGCCTCCCAAGCCACGATCCCTGTTGAAAAAAATGGATCTGCGTCCCGAGCTTCCAGGACGGTCCGTGCAGGCAACCAAGGACGCCAAGATGGCCCAGGATGCCTGGAAGACGGCCCAAGATGGCCTCAATGCAGCCAAAAATGTGTTCGAGGCGGCCCCAGATGCTCCCAAGAGGGCCCGAAAGGGCCACAAGTGGACCTCTAACAAGGTCCGAAGACGCCAACATCGTTGATTTCCCCTGGGTTGTTGCATGATTTTGCATTCTCGCCTTTTCGGGCTGCCGTCAGCTCAAGACGGCTCAAGAGGACTCCACGATGACCCACGAGGCATCCAAGACAACCTCAAGACGGCCTCCCGTGGGGTTTCCCAAACGGCTTTAGAAGGCCATTCGAAGGCCCAAAACGGCGCGAAGATGGCCCCAAGACGGCCCCCAAACACCCACCATACGGCCAAGAAGGCCCCAAGACGGCCCAAAGGAGTCACACGCCGGCGTAAAAGGGGCCCACGACGGCCCCCGAGGCCCCCTCAGGGACATCCAAGACTGCCTCACAGGAGGCCAAGACAGCCCCACGACGACCCAAACGAGTTTCATCATCATCACCATCATTACTATCACCATCACCGTCATCATCATCGTCGTCGTCGTCGCCGCCACCACCACCATCATCATCACCATCACCATCACCATTATTATCACCATTCTAATCACCATTACCATCACCATCATCATCACTATCACCATCACTATCACCATCATCACCATTACTATCCTCATCCTCATCATCGTTTTCGTCCTCGTCCTCATCCTATTTCTCATCCTCACCCTCATCCTCATCCTCACCCTCATCCTCACCCTTACCCTCACCCTTACCCTCATCCTCAACCGCATTCTCACCCTGATCCGCATCCTCATCCTAATCCTCATCCTCATCCTCACCATCATCATCACCATCATCAGCATCATCATCACTATCACCATCACCATCACCTCCTGGTCACCATCATCATCTTCGTCATCATCATCATCATCAGCATCATCATTATCACCATCATCATCATCATCATCATCATCATCATCATCATCGGCATCATCATCACAATCGTCAACACCATCATCCTCACCGTGGTCGTCGTCATCGTAATCGTCGTCGTCATCCTCATCCTCATCTTCATCATCAAAACCATCCTCCTCCTAATCCTCCTCCTCCTCATCATCATGATCATCATCACAATCATCATTACCATCATCACCATTTTCTTCGTCGTATTCGTCGTCGTGTTTGTTGTCGTCGAAGTCGTCGTCGTCGGCGTCACCATTACCACCACCATCATCACCACCGCCATCATCACCATCATCATCATCATCAACAACATCACCACTAACATCATCAACACCACCATCATCACCGTCATCATTGTCATCAACATCACAATCACAATCACCGTCATCATCATCATCATCATCACCATCATCATCATGATCATCATCACCACCACCATTACCATCATCATCATCACCATCATCATCATCATCGACATCATCATCATCATCAGCAACACCATCATCATCGTCATCCTTGTTCTCATCCGCATCCTGTCCTCATCCTCATCCTCATCCGCATCCCCACCATCACCACCACCATCATCACCACCATCATCATCATCATCACCATCACCATCAACATCATCACCACCACCATCATCATCATCACCGTCACCATCACCAGCAGCATCATCATCATGATCATTGTCACCATCATCATTACCATTACGACCACCACCAGCGTCATCATCATCAACATCCTCATCCTTGCCCTCGCCCGCATCCTGTCCCCATCCGCATCCCCACCATCACCACCACCACTAATCACCTCATCATCATCATCAGCATCAGCATCATCATCCACGACACCATCACTATCAATATCATCATCGCCACCACCATCATCACCATCATCACCACCACCACCATCAGCATCAGCATCAACATCATCATCACCATCACCATCATCACCACCACCATCAGCATCACTATCACCACCATCATCAGCATCATCATCACCATCACCATCATTATCATTGCCATCATCATCATCATCAACATCATCACCATACTCACCAACATCGCGAACCATCAACGTCGTCACCAACCCCCACTTTCTTCGTAATCCGCATCATCCTCATCGCTGCTCCCCCTCGAACAATCGCCACCCCTCGAACAATCGCCACCCAAACTGCTGGCTGGCCCGGGGTCGGGATTTGCCGCAATCAGCTGGATATATGCCATCAGGTACTGGGGGCAACGCTGGGAGCCCTTCGGGCAGAACATGTAGAAGCGAAACATGCGGCCACTAGCAGAAGACGTGACCACTGACCGCACAACAGGACGGAACATGGACGTGAGGCGCGGCATCCTCGATGTGTACAGCGCGACAGCGGCGGCTGCGGCGGCGGCGGGGTGGTTAGTGGGTGATGGGCGTGATGCCATTAAGACTTGATTGCGGCTCCAGCGGTGAAGCAGCAGTAGCGGCGGTGGCTCCTGGAATGGCTGCTGCTTCTCGCTCGTGCAGAGCACCGCCTGTCTTGGAGGAGCAGGGGGAGAACGGGGGGGATGAGGGAGAGCAGGAGGACGAGGAGGGGGGGGATGATGATGATGATGATGATGATGATGAGGATGATGATGATGATGATGATGATGATGATGATGATGATGATGATGATGATGGTGATGATGATGATAAGGGGGAAAACCAGGAGGGGGGGGGGCGGAGGAAGAGGAGAGGAGGAGGAAGGGGGAGGGGGAAGGGAGGGGGGGGGGGAGGAGGAGGAGAGGGGGGAGGAGGAGGAGGAGGAGGAGGAGGGGAGGAGGAGGAGGGGGAGGAGGAGGAGGAGGTAGGGGGGGGAGGAGAAGGAGGAGGGGGAGGAAGAGGAGGAGGAGAAGGGAGGAGGAGGAGGAGGAGGAGGAGGGGGAGGAGGAGGAGGAGGAGGAGGAGGAGGAGGAGGAGGAGGAGGAGACTAGACTAGACCTACAAGGTCATGCAAAGAATTCACGCGCGGGACCCCGCAGGATCCCTCCCTGAACGTAGGCTGAGACTGGGTTTAACCCCAGCCTCCGCCCACGCCGACCTTGTAGACGAAGTCCCACAAGGTAATGCCGGCCTCCGCGACGGCCCCGATCACGAGCCGCCTCCAGTGCCTGATCGCCTTCACGAACTTCTTGCGCTTCTGGAACATTTCGAAAGCCTCGGGCCCCGACACGTACGTGAGGCCGCTCCCAAGGCTGATGTCCTCCGCGACCTGTTTGCCCTTCACCTCCATCTGCTCGCCTGCGCCCGCGTCTCCACGGGCCTCCTCGGTGTTGGGCACGCCGAGCCAGGCGCTGGCAACGTGCGCCCGCGCTCTCCACCAGGCCGCCCCCGCGACTGCAGCGCCACGTTGAAGTTCAGCATGGCCTTCCGGATGCGCCGGCGGCGGCAGCTTCACATTGCCTGCAGCACCGCCCGCGTCTGCCTTCCAACCCCCTTCACGGGGAGGGCCAGGCTCAGCCCTGTCTGCCGTGGCCAAGGGCCCACAACCGAGCCCTTCCAGCACCGCCTCGGCGACATCCACACAGGACCGCAGGCGGGCCAGCTGGCCCCAAGCCCCAGACGGCCCCTGGATGTACGGCGTCGCGGTTGAGCGCAGGGGCGTGCGCCGCGAAAGCGCCGCTGCTGGTAGAAGCACCGCTGGCTCCTCCTCGCAGACCTCCGCCACGCACACCTGCACGGCGCTCTCCGAATGCACCTGCGGGCCCAAGCGAGGCCCGCGCCTCGCCGCCCGCAGCTGGCGGTCGTCGCCGATCGACACGTCGAGCCCGCCCGCCGCCGCGTGCAACGCGACATCCCTGCGCAGCTTCTGCGTGGGCGTGGGCTGCATCCCGCGCAGGAGGGCAGCGAGGGCGGGGACCACGGCCGCCAGCTGCCTGCCCACCTCGTCATCGGCCACCGCCTCCAGCAACGCCGAATGCAGCGCTCGGCCCTCCGCCAGCTCCGAACGCAGCCGAGCTGCGTCCGCCAGCGCCGCACCGAGCCCGCGGTCCACAGCAGCCAGTGCCCGCCGCCTGGCAGCGGAGCGCTCCGCGCGCGAGCGCCGCTGCCCCGCCTTGGAATCGCCGCGCGGCGACTCCGCCCGTGCAATTTTCTCGAGCCCGCCCGCGCGCGCCCGAGGCAGGCCTGAGCCAAAACGGCTTGAACCAAAATTGGAGGAGGAGGAGGAGGGAGGAGGAGGAGGAGGAGGAGGAGGAGGAGGAGGAGGAGGAGGAGGGAGGAGGAGGAGGAGGAGGAGGAGGAGGAGGAGGAGGAGGAGGAGGAGGAGGAGGAGGAGGAGGAGGAGGAGGAGGAGGAGGAGGGAGGGGGGAGGGGGAGGAAGAGGAGGAGGAGAGGGAAGGAGGAGGAGGAGGAGGAGGAGGAGGGAGGAGGAGGAGGAGGAGGGGGAGGAGGAGGAGGAGGAGGAGGAGGAGGAGGAGGAGGAGGAGGAGGAGGGGAAAGGAACAGGAGGAGGACGATGGGGGGGGAGGTGTAGGAGGGGGGGAAGAGAAGGAGGGGAGGAGGAGGAGACGCAGGAGGAGGAGGAGGAGGAGGAGGAGGAAGAGGAGGAGGAGGAGGCGGAGGAGGAGGAGGAGGAGGTTAGAGGGGGAGGAGGATGAGGAGAGGACGAGGGGGAGGAGGAGGGGGAGGAGGAGGAGGGGGAGGAGGGGGAGGAGGAGGAGGAGGAGGAGGAAGACGAGAACAACGGACTATACTTGCGGGGGGTGTAAACTGTTCGAGAGAACGCATGGCGGCAATCTGATGTACAATGCTGAGCTTTTCGCCATCATGCAATACATCATCCTGGCGAAGGGCCAACCATATGCAGTTGTGAGTAAGTAGCGCGTTGTGGGTGCCGCTCTCGGTGGAACTCCCTATGGGGCCACGAAGCGCGTGATGGGGCGTGTCGTAATGGGTGGGGGAGACGAATGCGGGCGGTGCCACTGGGGCCTTCGGTGGGGCTCCCAATGGGCCACGAAACGCTGTCCTGGGTGTGGCTGACGCGCGCGGGCGGTGCCCCTCGCTGCATCGCCAATCGCGCGTGGAATTGGAACGGTACTTCTGCTTGATCCGCTTTGCCTGGGAGAGCACTGGGGAGCTCTCCTTGCCAAGAGGGCGCTGCATCGTCCAATGCCAAGGCGCTCGGTGCACCGGGTCTTCCGGACATATGCGCAGCAAACTGGTCCCCTGTTCGGTCGTCGTGAAGGTATGGGAAGCTATCTTGACAAGTGACTCGCCGTCGGGTTCTGGTGCGAGCCCAGTCTCGGCAGAGCCAACTAATGGGTAACTTCATGCCGACTGCTGTGTTCGCGTCTACTTCGATGGTGCGATTCAGCTTGTTTGCCGAGTCTATGGCAGCGCAGGGTCTGTCGTGTCTTCGGCGCGTCGGAAGTGATTCGTGTAGTCTCTCTGGCACGGTTGTATGTGTTCCCACGATGAATAGTGAAGGCTGGGCGGCATCGTGATCCACGCCAGTCGATATTCGCGTCGGGCGACTTCGCTGAGGCGGACGGAGAAACGGAAAGAGATGGTTTTGGCCGAACTCAGAGATGCAGAGGCGCGTGTCGGCGCGAATTCTATCGCTAGAACGCGGTTTGGGCACGAAGTTGTTTGCTCGGCCAGGGGTCGGGGTGCCCCGCGTGGGGGCGGCAATCCGTTGCGAACCGAGGATCAACCGTTGCTCGCTCCTGGCTGGAAGAAGCAGCGGCCGGCGTCATGTCCTCTCTCCGTCTCCGTCTGGTCGGCGTGGGCGTGCAGCTGGGCGCCGCGGTCGGGCGCGCCGCCCGCAGCTTGCACGTCCCTCTCGAAGTCGTCGACGACCATCGTGAGGTGTCCGCTCGAAGCCTTCTGCAGCGGGATGCGAGCGGCCCCTGCGGGCCATTGGATCTGGATGTCGCCGCCGCCGGGCAAGATCAGCTCGCGCTGGCCCATGTCCGAGATCGCGCGCGTGGACTCCATGCTGCGCCGGCCGAGCATGACGGGGAGGTCGCTGCCCGATCCATGGGCGATTCGTGCTGCGAAGCTGTGGATGGTAGCTTTGCCACGTTCCTCCCTGGCGGCTACGGGGGCGCTCGCCTGATGGGTGCACTCGCGTGCCCCGATGCCACCGCTTTGGGTGCTCAGAGGCTGGCTCGTGAGGAGCTGCTGCGGCTGGTGCCCTGCCTCTACGGCTTGGCGGCGCAGCTGGCGCGCCAGCATCTCGCCCGTGGGGTTGGTCCACGCTCCTGGGTCTACAATGACACTGAGCTCATCTGAGGGGGGCGGCGTGCGACTTTGATGCGCCTGAGTAGCGCGCTCGTGTGCTGGGCCAGTGGCCGGCCACCGGGGTAGCGCATCGGCGTCGCCGCCTTGCGGTGAGCCTTGAGGCGACGGCTATCCCCAGTAGGATGCAGGAGTGCTGAAGGTGATCCTTCCGATCGGCGCGTCTCGCGGTGCGATCGGTGCGCCGTTGGCGAGGGAGGGCGCGTCCTCGTCGGGCGCTCCGCGGGGAATGCTGGCGACCTGGATGTGCGTGACCTCGCGCGCTGCCAGATATTGCCTCCGTGTTGGACATTGTGCGAATGGTGCTCGGGCCTGGTCGCCGCGGAGCGCTTCTTCTACGGCTCGCAGCCGGGCGTCCTTGTAGCTAGCGGCAGCGCAGGCTCCGGCGGGGCACCGATGGGCGCGATGAAGAATGACGGCAATATCCAAGTTGACGTAATTGTCCAAACAGATGATGCCGCGCACCGCATCGGTGTCGGCTTCAACTCCAGTGAGTTCTGACTCTGCGCGTAGATCCGACGGTCGCGGCGGTGGCGCGACGCCCGGAGGTCCAGCCGCGACCGTGTCGATCATCTGTTGGGCGCGCTCGCGGCAGTGAACGCGCCGTTGTTCCATCTGGGCGTCGTGGTCTGCCTCCTATCTGGCCATGGCAGACCGCCGGATGTAGATCTCAGGAACCAGGTCGTTGGCCCTGATGGCCGCGGTCGGCGCTTCGGCTGGGTGCTCATGTCCGCGGCGTTGTCTGTCTGGCAGGGCAGCTTGTGCTGGCTGACAATGTTCTTGGCGTGAGAGCTGGCCGAAACCGGTGATGCGGGGAATGGTGATGCGCTGATCATTGGGAACCGCGAGTTGGCAGATTGGAAGGATGGTTGCACCCGCGCTGTACTGTAGGTCCATGAGGTTCATCTCGCGGGGGCTGTGCAGGGCCCACTCCTCGGCGGTGCGTTGCCTGAGGAGCGAGCTCCGTCGGCAGCTGCCGCCGGCTCCGCGGCGGCGGGGGCCGCGCCAGGCAGAGGCGGCAACGTTGGAAATTGGGGCGGCCTGATGTTGGTGTTGCTATGGGGAACATCAGTGGTGGTGGTAGGACAATGGGCGCGTCGGTGTACTTGTGGCTCGGCGACGACGAAAGCCCCCTCGGGCGCTCCCAAGGGGCCAACACGACGACGCCCACGATGATAGTTCCCTCGAGGGCTCCCAGTCAGCCACGACGACGACGACGGCGTCCGCTCCCTCGAGCCCTCCCAGCAAACCA